TTAATCATAATATTTATATTTGAATAATTAGTGGTTAATTATTCTTTAATTTTTTTTGGAATAGTTATAGATGTTACTTTACTCAGGGTGGACACTCTGATGCTTAACTTAGCGATGAGTTGTGAGAATTGGAAAGCTTGAGAGCAAGAGAGTTATTAGTGCTGAATCATGCCTACCTTTTCTGAGGAAGGGGATGCCTTGTTATAGGCTAACAACTGTGAACTCCACAAAGCGCGTTCAAGATCTCTGGACCATTTGGTTCGGAGGTGGTTTCACGCCCGGAGATAGGTTTCTTGTAAGCGGGTAGTGCTTATCTAGTTACACTCGAAACAGGCAGGGCATTAGTTAACTCCATCAACGTGGCGTCATGATCCCAGGGAAACTAGAGGCGACAACTCGTACGAGGAGGTCACCTGTCATGCCATGCAAGCCACTAGCTAATTCTCTACTAGGTTGACAGAGGTAGGTCGCCTCTTACACTGACCTGACACCGATAGGCTTATCTACAATCTAACCTACCAAGGTAGGGCCGAGGATCTACTCGCCGCAGTAGGGCTGAGGAGTCCACAACGAATGAGAGGTGTCTGTCATGCTCGCGAAATCTACTTACATGGAGTTGAGTTGTCATCTGACGGTTTTGTGGAACCACGTGTCATGATGTCACTAGACAGCCAAATCACCCCTCATCAATTGCTCCCCACTCCCAAATTGATGATGGTTCGGCGAAGGGAGTAGCTCGCTGTCAATCCTTGACCCAGGGTGACTCGTCTGGTGGGTTCGTAGTTTTCTCGATCTGTTCACTTGACTTGGCCTAAGGGTAGGCTGGCATGCACAACAATTTTGAATTTTAAGTCGGGTGCGCAAATTCGAAATTCAAATTCACCCGCAAATTATTGAAGCAGCATATTTCTCTCGACCGACGATTTTCCATGCCCCTGGCTATAAATAGGTGGTCCCTGTAGGGTTCCCATTCATATTGTTTTGAGTTTTCTTGCAAAGGAGTGGGACGAGATATTAGAGGAGAGATTTGTTGGGAGGTCATAGTCAGTTCGGTAAGCTTAATCCAATTAGGCGAAGTCACTCTTTTTTTCCTAAGAAGCTGGTGAGTCCTTTTCCTTCTTGTTTAGTCATTTCTTCAAGTGAGTCTAAGGGTTGGTGGGGTGGGGAGGG